GTTATTCCGCAGGCGCGTTCCTGCCGATTGAAGATGATAGGGCGGCTGCTGTTTGATTGGTTGACAAAGCTGTCTTTTGATTGGCCCTCCCCCAGGACCGTTCCAGCCACGCTCTCCGACGACCTTCAGGAAAGTTTACCAAACTTTGCTTTAATTCACCTCCTCCTTTTCCCGCTTCCCAAAGCCTCCTCCGCGTCTCCTCGTCTCCTCCCCCGAGTTTCCCCCCTGCCGGATTCGGCGCGTACAGTCGACAGCCTCTCCATGATAATGAAGCGCTGCTCGATCTGTACAGCTGACGGAGCGCGGGAGGGGAAAAAAAAATCATACGGCCTCCGAAGTGAGCGCGCTGCTTTGCTGCAATCTAATCTCAATCAGCTGCAATCAGATTGTCTAGAAAGACGAGGGTCACGCCACGCTCCCACACTTCGGCACGCCCCCACAGTGAGCCCGCACTTCCAGTCTTGACTGAAATAGTGCCAATGACTGAGATGATTTGTGGAGAGGAGTTTTTTTAACTTCAAATCCAGAGGTGGATGATTATGTTGTTGCTTGTGTGTGTGCATTTGTGTGTGTGTGCGTTCGTGTGTGCGTGTGTGTCTGTCTGCAAAATATCTCATGAATGACTTGATGAATTTTAATGACACTCTCAGAAAGTAATCATTAGATGTACCCAATTTAAGATCGCTGCCAACAAATCTAAAAAACACATAAAAATGGCCTAATCTCAGTCAGTTTCATAAATATTAATCTAAACCTGCGATTCCCAAACTATTTCAGCCACCTAAAACTATTTTGTTTTTTGTTTTTAAGAAAATTTGCGGGCCCCCAATCCCTGCACCCACATCTCCAACCAGACACAGATATTTGATTTTCAAACTCCAATTTATTTTATTTCACACCTTAATCATTTTTGAACTATTGAACTGATAGAAATAAACGTAAATAAATTAAATGGTTGAAATAGGTAAACAACTCCCTGAGAAGAAAAAAAAATGTAAATCTTGTTAAATCTTCACCTCTTTGCATGTATGTGGAAGCCTCATCAAAAACCTGTGCATTATGTTAGAAATGACTAAGCGTTCTTTATTATTATTTTTACTCAGTCATTCCGTGCACCTCCACCCCCTGCAATGGTTGTATTTGAACATCACACACACACACTTTGGGAAATACTGACCTAAACTTTGGTGTGATAGAAGCTGGAGTTGATCCCTAACACACATTCTGAGTACAAATAAAATACACAGACACTTTGTCAACTTGGTCTGTTAGCAAAATAATTCTTGGACAGACTTCAAATGAAACTTTCAGGAAATCTATCAATACACATTTACATCTGTTTAACTTTAGATCCAACCTAATTAAAAATGTCCACCACAGCCAGCGGTCAATTTTAAAAATATTAATTAATTAATTTCTGAAAGTCAATCACGACACAAAGTCAAGTCCTGACGAGACAATCCTGGTGTCTTTGGTGTCAGTTCTTTTAGCAAAATATCTTAAAATACTGAATGGATTTTAACAAACCTTCTGAAAGTAATCCCTTGGGTAATTGATTAACTTTTGGAGTCAGTCCAATTCCAGATGACCGCCACAGCTGATCCACAATATCCAATACAAAACTAACTATAATAACAAAGTTAACCTTACAGATATTGAGCTAACAAGTGGAAACAGCTGCTGGTCGTAGGCAACACACACTTTGAGTGTGATGTCTTAAAGGGGCAATATCATGTAAAATCAACTTTTTTGAGTTTTATATCATGTTATAATGTTATACTCTCATAAAAAAACATACCCAAAGCCTTGCTCTGACTCATTTATGCATGTTTGAGAAATCCTGCAGTGTTTTTAGGAAGCCATGCTGAGGAGCAAAACAAC